ATTGTGCTGTATGCTTGCACCAGTAGGGACAGTCAGCCCAGCCTGGCTCTTCCCTGATCTGGCTTACATGAGGCCACAGGTGTTGTAGCCCTGTCCGGTTTGGTGTGCCTGCATCCCAACTGATGGTCTGCAGTGGGAGTGGCTGTCCAGCAGGGGAGCCATCCACTTTCCCCCTCCAGCTTTGCCCTTGCCTCCCCTGGTTCTCACGTGTGCTGATTGGGTATTGCAGCCCAGTCTGGCATAGCCCACCTTGTCTTGGCATTTGCCAGTGGGTGCTCTAGCCTGGCCCCGGCTGACCGAACCCTACTTCCAGCTGGTGAGCATTACAATGTAGCCCAGCCAGGTAGGCACCCAATCCCAGCTGTACTGTGTACTGGTATGTGTTGTGACGAGGTGTGGCCTGACCCACACTCTGTCCTGGTGCTCAGATTCACCAGTGGGTGGTGTGCACTGGTTCAGCCTAATCTGCCACCAGCCTATGGCAAATATATGTTGCTGGGTACCTTTCCCTGGTCTGGTTCTGGAATGCACCTTATTGTGGTTCTTGCGCTCACCTGTAGGCATTGCGTCCTGACAGAATAGTATCCCAAGCTCCCCTATCAGAATCTCTCCCAAAGCCAATTTCTTGCACACTGTTGGGTCAGTGGGCTCACACTACTTAGTCCACATCCTTAGATCTGCCAGGAACAGTGGCCTTTCCGGGCTGGCCTACAAAGCATTCCAGTTCTTTTTATATTTTAAACTGTATGTTCATTTTGATTTCAAAATCATACACAAAGAGGAAGAGAAGTAAAGAGAACTATCTTCTGTCCAATGATTCACTCCCCAAGTGAGCACAATGGCCAGAGCTGCACTGATCCCAATCAGGAGCCCAGATCCCCTTGCGGGTCTACCATGTGGGTGCAGGGTCCCAAGGCTTTGTGCTGTCCTTGATTGCTTTCCCCAACAATAAGCCGGGAGCTGGATGAGAAGCAGGGCTGCCAGAATGAGAACCAGCACCCCTATGGGATCCTGGTGCCTTCAAGGCAAAGACTTTAGGCATTGGGCCAAGGCGCTGTGCCCTCCAGTTCTTACTGTTGCAGGTTTCAGCACAGCCAAGGCTCGTTCATCACGAGACTCAGTTGGGGCAGAGACCTAGGCTACTCCATCCTACATGTGCCCTGGTCCTGCAGAGCACCAGTTCCTGCGCTGGCTCTTGCAGGCACTAGTTGGTGCTAGAGCCCAACCAAGTTTGGCACACACCCCCAGACGTGTCCACACACATGCTGAGGGATACTGCAGACCTGTCCAGCCCAGTTTGCCACCCCAATTCTGGCTCTTGCACTCTCCAGTGGGAACCGTACCCTAGCTGGGGCATCCTCTTACCTTCCCGAGAAGACCTGCTCCCAGCCATAGAGCTTGGATGTGCCAGTGCATGCTCTGACCCAGCCTGGCGTAACCCGTCACCCATCTTGGCCTTTCCCATCAGATGCTGCAGCCTAACCAGGTGAGCCAGCCCAAGGCTCAATTCTTATGGGGACTGGGGGTGCAACCTAGCCTAGTCAAGTCTGGTGCCATCCCAGGCTTTCATGCTACAAGTTGCTATGATAGCCTAACCTACTAGCACACAATGCATCTCCTGGAATCCTGCATATGCTAGTGTGCCACGATTTTCTCTGGCCCTGCCACATGCACCAGTTACCCCTCCACCAGAAATACCCGATACACTTGACAACAAGTGGAGTAGCCTTGCCCGGACTGACCAATTGCCAGCTTGCCTCATGTGCTCAGCAGTGAGGGCTAGAGCCCAGCTGGGGAGTTCCCCACCTTCCCCCACCAGGCCGACTCCCACACCCAGATCTCACTTGTTCTAGAGGTTTCTAGCCCCTAACCCTGCAGTCTGCACCCTCTGTCTTGTCCTTTGTGTGAGCTGATGTATGATGTTGCCCTTGCTACTACATATCATTTATTTGTGTGTGTGTGTTCCTGCAGGTGCTGCATCCTGGATGAGCTGGGTCTGTTCCCAACCCGAGTTTCCATGAGTGCCAGCGGGTTCCTTGGTCATGCCTAGCTCAACGCATGGCCACCCTAACTCCTGAGCAAACCAGTGAGTATTGCAATTGCACATGGGATGAGTCCACAGATACCTCACACAATCTTCCTCAGACTTGGTTCTCTAGCCTGTTAGTTAGTATTATCATGCAACCTAATATTATCAGTCCCTCTTTCTATCTTCAGAGGCAGGTGCTGTGCTCTCGTGGTGCCAGGTTGGGGCCATGTTGTTTGTGCCTCAGCTGGCGGCTAGGTCGCAGGCTGGATGGCCACGCTGCTGGGAGCTGAATCGAGGCTCTTGTGCCATCTGGTCCTCCTCAACCTACATTGCCCCACTGATAGGGCAGCCTGCACAAAACCAAACAACACACAAAACATTCCATGCACAGGCTACCGTGAGGGAAGTGGAAAGCAATGGCTCCCTCCCTCCCTCCCGAGCATGTGCCTCTGAGCCAGCCCCCTCCTTGCCCCCTTCCCCACAAACACAGAAGATCTCACAGAGATGTCAGTTCCTGTCCCGGCTGCTCTGTTTCCCTTGCAGCTGCGTGAACACAACCTGGGAAGCTGCAGCAGTAGATAGCCGAATGGTCACCTGTGCAGGAGACCCTGATGAAGTTCTGGAATGTGGGCTTCTCCCTGGGACAGTGCTGGCTGTTGCAGCCCTCAGGGAAGGAAGCCAGCAGATGGAAGCTTTCTCTCTGTCTGTCCCTCTGTCCCTCTCTGTAGCTCTGTGTTTGTGATCAAGAAGTCCATGTTTGGAAGCTCTGGAGTTGGCAGGAGCTGCCCTTTGTACTTCCCCATACTCTGGCAGGCTCCCTGGCCCTGTCTTCACAGAGGGTGTCTGGTGCGTCCTATCAAACGCTGTTGCTCCGTTCAGAGGAGCACATAGAGCACGACTGTGTAAAGAGAGAGAGGAAGCCTGCTGAGCCTAGGGGACAGGTGGGGACTGTCACCAAAGAGACCGCAGGCTGCCTGGCCTCCAGCAGGAAGTATGGAGTGCTGGAGAGAGCAGACATAGCAGGCAAGGAGCAGAAGCAGCCAGCCAGGGTGTGGCCAGCAGGGTCTTCCTGCAGTGAACTGGTGACAGGAGGGGAGAGTGCATTGGCCTCAGGAGCCGAGGAGGAAGAGGTATCCTCCACCGCAGGTGTGGGACCCTGCACATGAGGGAGGGGTGGTCCTGTCTTCCCTGAGCACAGGTGAATGTGCCCGCTGCCCGGTGCTGCCCACAGAGGTGTCAGCCTCCCGCGTGTGCCTCTGGCCCAGCCCTGGTGCTTGTGGAGCTTTGTTTGGGGACTAAAGCAGGAGCTGACTTTCCTTGTCCCTATCATCTAACCAACAGGCCCCTGCCAGCTTTGCACCCTGGGTCTCTCTGCACTGCAGTGCAGGCCACGCCTCCCGCTCCAAGGCCCTTTGCAGGTGAAGAGTCAGTCACCATCAGTGCTCAGGGTCCAGCGAGGGAGTCAAGGGACCACCACGCCATGGCGCAGCAAGACCACCTGACAGCACGCAAGCTGGGACAGAAAAGCCAGCATGCATGGTGGAGGTAAGGAGACTGTTTTATTACAAGACCCCAAGAGGTGTAGTTCATGTTCTCCCCTCACATATTGACCATGGCCCTCATGGTGTCCAGGGCAGATGAGTTAAAAAATTCTTAAATTTGTGCAAAATTCCATATATATATATATATAACATAACAGTCAAAATGCCAACAACAGTATACAAGCAACGTTTCCACAACAGTGGCTATTTCAAAACTATGTGCAATAAATGTAATACATTATCTCTAAAAATAGCGTTTTATAAATTTTTTTTTCTTTATACTCTGACTTAGTTGATTAGGGTCCTGAGGGTCAAGGGCTACAGGGTGAAAGTGGGTAATAGCATTATTTCCACACTAGTGTTATAATTTGTCCGTGTATCTGGGGTTAGGGGAGTAACAATGGGCAAAGCCCCACCCAACCTACCACCCATGCCAGATCCCCAAGGGGAGGCGCGCTCCGAGGGTCCTGCTCAAACAGTTTTGGTAGTTCATCAGTTCTGGATTGCTGCCAGTCTCGCAGTTCCAATCGCAAGGAAACCTATTCAGAGTCCACTGGCGGACAGTCTCTTGGTGGTTGGGCTTCTAAGATCAGCAGTTCCGTTGGAGGGATCTCCAAAGAAACTTCCTCTGAGATGATCCCAGACCTGATTCCACCAGCATGCATCGTGGAGGTAAGAAGACTGATTTATTACATGACCCCAAGAGGTGTAGTTCACGTTCTCCCCTCACATACAGACCAAGGTCCTCACGCAAGTTCAAGGTGTGAAGGCCAGATAAGTTAAAAAACTCTTAAAATTGTACAAAATTCCATATATATATATATATATACACAACAGTCAAAATGCTAACAAAAGTATGCAAGTAATGTGTCTTATGTGCAATAAATTTAATATATCATCTCTAAATATAGCATTTCATAAGCATTTTTATAAAAATACATCATAATATGCATACATTATGTGGGAGCTACATATAAAATATGCACTCCATTACAAATATGAGCAAAATTGGATTGCAATTCACCCAAATTATTAGTTCAAATACAGCAGAATTGAATGGGAGGTTTGGACGTGCACACAGTCCCAACTTATCATCTCCCACTGTAGATCTGGACAAGGTTTTAAAGGGTGAGGGTCATGGAGTGGGAGTCTAGCTCAGATGGCCCCCAGATCTCCCAGACTGGAGACAGCCCCCTCCCAGCCCACCCCGAGGACCTGCACGCACCTGCCCTCTGGCCGGTGACCACTGGTGTCAGTGCAGCAGCTTAGGCTAGGAGGGCCCGGTCTCGCCCCCACACCCAGAGCTCTGGGTCATAGGCTTGGATCTGGAAAGACAAACACTCTCTCAGAGACTCCTCCCTGGCCCTTCTCACTACCTCCAGATCCCAAGCCCGGGCCCTGCTGAAGCAGCTCCAGCCTCACCCACCTCCTCACACTCCTCCAGGGTGACCCTGGCCTTCCAGCACATGCAGCGCATGAACTGCAGGTGCTTTTGTCCAAGAAGGGCTGTTGAGTGTAGTTCTTGCCGTAGAGGAATGCGAAGATGGCCTGCTTGGGGGCCTCGTTGTCCTCTTCCATGTCGTTGGCCAGGTAGCTGAGGAAGAAAGCCCATCTCTCAGTACAGGATGCATGGACAGTGGTAACGTGTGGACAGTGAGAACACGTGACAGTGAAGGTGCGTGCACCATGAGAACACATGGACAGTGGGAATATGCAGACGGTGAGAATGTGTGGACAGTGGCCTTGCACAGCAACAACAGCCAGAAACCAAAAATACACCATGGCACAGCAAGCTAAGCCTCCCATATGGATACTGGTTCGTGTCCAGGATGCTCTACTTCTGACCCAGATCCTGCCTAATGCACCTGGGAAAGCAGTAGAGGATGGTCCAGGTGCTTGGAACCCTGCCACCCACTGGGAGACCCAGAAGCAGCACCTGGCTTCTGGCTTTGGAATGCCCTGCTGCAGCTTATGGGGAGTGAGTCAGCACATGGAAGCTCTCTCTGTTTTTGCTTCTCTCTATGAATCCACCTTTCAAATAAAGCAAATCTTTCAAAAACAAATTATGGAGGAGGAGATTGGTGGCTCAAGTCCTTGGGCACTGTGGGGAGCACAGAGCAGCACAGGCCCTGGCGCTGTCATGCTGCCATGCTGCCATGCTGTCAGGCCGGTCACCCAGGAGACAGTTGAGGTGCTGGGTGCACGTGGCAGTCAGTGCTACAGGTCATCTGTTGGCCGGGGGCAGGTGTTCAATCCTGGGCAGCACAGGCCCTGACTGAGCACTGAATGGGGAAGTGGAGTTGGGAAGAGGAGAGAGGGCGGAGCTGCCATCCAGCAGGGAGGAAATGCAAGCCAGGAAGGGTGAACACAAAAGTCTCATGGTGATTTTCCTGTAAGATTTTGGGGTGTCTGCAAACAAAGGTGGTTGCCAGTAGAGGGCCAAGAGGGGCCTGAGGGCTGTGGGAGCAAACTCCCTGGCAAGGTGGACCACATCTTGAGCTGGAGCCACAGCCAGTGCCAGCAGAGGGCACGGAGCTTGGGGCCACGTGCACACGGGTCCTGCTGTCACCTCGGCTGGGACAGTAAACAGTCTTGTTGCTCACCCAAAGGACTCAGACAGGGAAGCTCGCTGTCCACCAGCCAGGGCTCCTCTCCCAGCTCCAACTTCACGATCACGCGTGGCTTGGAGAGGTCACCGCCTGTTTGGGAGAAGCAGGGCCCTCAGGTCAGGGCTGGGCTGCCAGGTTCCTGAGCACTTATCTGTACCCTATGCACCACCCAGTGGGCATGAAGTGGCCTGCCGGCGCCACCCAGAGGACATTCAGGAGGGGCACTCCTCACCCATGGCCACGAGGTGGTTGTAGTTCTCCAGCATCACCTCCCGGTATGTCCTCCTCTGCACCGGCTCCAGCTGCTGCCACTCCTGCTGTGTGAAGCCCACGGCCACGTCCTTGAACAACACGGGCCCCTGCAACGGCAGTGAGACACCAAGTGGGACATGTGTGCGGGGTCGCCTGGTGCCCGCTCTGCCTCAGGGCTCTGTCCTGTGCCAGACATGACACCCAGAGCCAGCACAGCCCCCACAACCCAAGGGCAACAAACACCCACCACCATCATCCCCCACCAGACTCCTGGACCTCCACCCTTGTGCTGTTCACGGCCAGGGGCCACAGTGCACACGGCCAGCCCACCAGCTGCTGGACTTGCCCGTCACCTCCTTTTTCTTTTTAGATTTTTTTCAAATAAAAGTGGAAAGGCAGAGTTACAGAGAAGAGACAACTAGAACATAGATATAGATATAAATACAGATATAGATATAGAGAATCACCTGCTGATTCTCTCCCTGAATGGCCACAACGGCCAGAGCTGGGCCGTCCTCTGCTGCTTTCCCAGGCCATAAGCAGGGAGTTGGATCAAATGTGGAGGCTTGCTGGACTTGAACCAGCACACGTCTGGGATTCCGGCCAACAGCAGGAATCTACTCCAGCAAAGGGCATCACACAAGCGGTCATTTAAAACATAAGTGTGGACTGCTGTGTGCACACTGCGCGTGGAAATCCAAGGCAACAAGAGGGACCCAGGAAAGCAGCTCCTGCTGAGCTGGGACACACTGCAGCAGCACACCAGCAACCCCAAAGCAGCCACCATTCCCACAGCCGCCTTCCCACTGACAACCCAACGGGGACAAACTGGAAGCAGCACACTGGAGCCCAACCTCTCCCTCAGCACAGTACAAGTGAATGGCCGACAAAGCCCAATTAACATGCAGAACTGTCAGACTGACTCGGGGAAAAAGGCAAGATGGAACAATGTGCTACCTACAAGAGCACACTTTTGAAAAGGAAGGTGCAGGCGCCAGTAGTGCAACAAGTTAGCCCTCTGCCTACACACTGGCATCCCATATGGACACTGGTTGGAGTCCTGGCTGCCCACTAGACCCATCTCCACGCTGCTGGCCTGGGAAGGTGGTGGAGAATGGCCCAAATGCTTGGCCCCTGCACCCACGTGGGAGACCTGGACAAAACCCCTGGCTTCTGGCTTAGGAGCAGCTCAGCTGGAGCAGCTGCAGCCATTTGTGGGGTTTAACCAGTAGATGGAAGATCTCCCTGTCTAGACTCTCTCAAGTAACATAAATGTAACTTGTTAAGTAGAGGGTTCAGGGGTGGGTGCTGTGGCGCTATGGGTCAGGCTCCTGCCTGGAACATGTGCATCCCATAGGAACGCAGGTTCAAGTCCCGGCTCCTCAACTTTGATTCTGGCTTCCTGCCGGTGCAAACTGGGGGATGATTATCGGGGGTCCTCCCGTCCCGCGGAAGAAATCACCCGACACTTGAGAGAGTCTCCAAGGCGCTTTTTATTCTGCTCCTCCGTCCCGTCGTGACCGTTGTCCGTTGACCGTTATCACCGTTATATCCGTTACGCTCCAGCCCCTCCCCCGCCAAGCCCCCCGCTTAACTGTCAAACTTGACCAATCAACTTAAAGAGAACCAAGGCACACCAATCAGGGCAAAGGGCCAATCACAGGGCAGGAAATGGTCAGTGCCCCCAACAGCTCCCCCTTCTTGTTTTATTAAGCAAGGGACCGTGCCTGTCTTAGGTGTTCCGAGTTCAGGCTCCCCTTACCCATCATGGGCTAACCACGTGGCTAGGAACGTGGCACCTGTCTTAGGTTGGTGAAGCCATATCGGATACTTACCCGTCTCTGGCTACCGGTCCAGCATGCCTAGCCAGACTTTTAGGGATTATCTGCTGTGAAGGGCAAGCACAGCTTGCACTAGCAGCTGCTGTTACTGCTGCTGACGCTGTGCTCAAGGATGAAGCATCCACAGACCCCAAAGAATGATATAAGGCCCAGGGCTACTATACCAGCCCATTGGTGTGCAAAGGAAAGATCCTTTAGTATGCAATTTGTCCATTGCTTTACTGTGGCAATCTCTACTTTTGTCGTATGGACCAGCTTCCACTAGGGGATAGCGTAGCGGATAATTCTCTGGACAAATTCAGTGCTCGGGAACCATTGGTGACAATAGAGGGAGTGACACACATTCCAGGTAGACTAAGCACACAGGAGGTCCCCATATGATGGAAATAAGTTGTGGAATGCGTACCAGCACCACAGTGCCAGAGCCATTCCAACACTGGTTAAGGGCTCACTTAACTACAGAGCAATTCAAAAGGGTAACATTAGCACTCATGGAAACATTAAACATAAATGGAGCTTGTACACATACATAAATAGCATTATAGATAACATAACAACTGCAATTAACTTTAACATTTTCTTCCCATATTCTAGAACTACTACTGCTATAATTACAATTTCTTATCACTACCTTATCAATAAATGCAAAAGCTGATATATCTGAACACCCACCCCTATTAGTGCAAAGTACCCAGACATTCCAAGACTGAGCAGAAACAGATTGAACAGGGTTACCATATGTATAGTTATACCCCACAAAGGCACAATTTGAACAGGTAGGAAATAAATTGGTCACAGCAAGATCAGGTGCTACTCTTCTAGGAGTCACAGTACTTTGACAGCAGTCCATTCTGGGGGCCATTTCCAAGGCCCTAGACAGCGAGTCAATATTTGCTGCACACCTTTTATGGTGCAGTTTTAGCTGGAGATTCTGGTTGTCTCCTCTCGGTATCTGAATGAACATCAGGCTGGTCAGCATCCACCACGTCCACAGGTTCATCTTGCTCCGGCTTTCTTATCACTCGCGTCAAACGTTCTGGCACCCACACCGGTCCATCAGAATCCTGCGGAAAAACACAAACCGCTCCTCGCGTCCGTCGTAAGACAGGATGCGGGCCCATCCATTGTTTTGTTAAAACATCCTTCCACATCACCCAATCTTTGCAGGGGCCTGCGCCAACAGTGTGGCGTTCGGCAGCAGAATGGCCATCCAAATCCAGAATCAAAAAGTTAAAAATATAAGTAACTAAAGCCAATTGATGTTTAGGACTTTTGGGATATAGGGTGGCTCCTACTCCCCCTTTTTGTTTTATTAATAATGCTTTGAGAGTTGCATGGGCACGCTCTACCACAGCCTGGCCTGTGGGATTATATGGGATGCCAGTAGAGTGTTTAATTGCAAATTCAGAACAAAATTTATCAAATGCTTTGGCTGCATAGGCAGGTCCATTATCAGTCTTATAACACTGGGGGACTCCCCAGGCTGCAAAAGCCTGAAGGCAGTGAGATATAACATCTTGAACCTTTTCCCCTGTATGAGCTGAGGCATAAAGAACCCCAGAGCAGGTATCAATAGAGACATGAACAAAAGAAAGGCGACCAAAACTGGGAACATGGGTAACATCCATCTGCCATATATGATTAGGCATAAGACCACGGGGATTAACCCCAAAGCAAGGCTGGGATAAAAATGGGACACAATTTTGGCATTGTCTAATAATAGTGCGGGCAGCATCCCGAGAGATTGGGAAGCGCTTTACCAAGGTTTGTGCGCTAACATGCCACCGTTGGTGAAAGCGCTTTGCCTCTTCCTCCACGGAGAATGCTAAGAGGAATCTAGAAGCAGAGTCAGCCTTGTCATTGCCTTGGGCTAAAGATCCAGGCAAGTTGGAATGTGCCCGAATAAAGCCCACATAAAGAGGATTGGTCCGGGATAATAACAATTGTCGGACTTGAAACAGGGCCTCATGCACTGTAGAGCGAGGTAAAATATATTCTACCATCTCAAGGCGTTTAACAGCATTCACCACATATAAGCTGTCAGAAAGAATGTTCAGGGGCTCAGGCACTAACCGCAAGGCCAAAGCAACGGCGGCCAATTCTGCAGTTTGTGGAGAAGAGGAAGCAACCGCAATTGGGAAAATTTGGGTATCCAAGACAACTGCCCCTGTACCACCTTTAGCCCCATCTGTAAAAGCAAGCCGCGCTCCACTAATGGGACGCTCCTTAACCACCTTGGGAAAGCACAATGGGACTTCTTTGCAAAACTGCACCCATGGATGGGATGGATAATGCGTATCAAATTGCAAAGAAAAGCAGGATAGCAAAATGGCCCAAATATCTACCGTTTGGCATAGACTGGCAACTATTTCTCTAGAATAAGGGGTAACACATAAGCTAGGATAAACACCAAAGGCTTCTCGGGCTCTCTCCACTGCTTTAAGAATCACTTGGCCCATAAGTTCAGGGAAGGTGGCAAGCACTTTGGAGGGTTGCATGGGTAAATAGATCCAGACTAAAGGCCCCCCCTGCCATAGCAGCGCAGCAGGAATACTTTCAGGTATAATCAGAACAGACAATGGTTGTGAAGGATCACAACGCTCAACCTGAGCTTCTTGGAGTCTACTCTGGACCAATTCAAGGGCCTTGCGTCCCTCCAAAGTAAGCTCTCGGGGTGAATCTAATGCGGGGTTTCCATGAAGTATAGAAAACAGGGGCTCTAAATCTTTGGTGGTAATACGAAGATATGGTCTGATCCAATTAATATGTCCCAATACCTGCTGGAAATCGTTAAGGGTCTTTAAACCATCCATTCTGATTTTAACCTGTAATGGGGCAACCTGACGGGCTGTCATCTGTAGTCCCAGATATTTTACATTGGGGCCCTCTTGAATCTTCTCAGGGGCAATGTGCAATTTCCACCGTGCCAGTTCTTGCTTCAAGCACACTAAGGCGGCCTGCACTTCTTCTTTCTGCTTTCCTGCCACAAGAATGTCATCCATATAATGATATATGCAAAGCCGAGAAAACTTTCGTCTTACAGGGCACAGTGCTTGAGCTACATATAGTTGACACATAGTAGGACTATTCATCATACCTTGTGGGAGTGCAACCCATTGGTATCTCTGATCTGGGCCTTGATGATTAATAGAAGGCAAAGTAAAGGCAAAACGCTCTGAATCTTGTGGATGTAGAGGTATAGAAAAAAAGCAATCCTTAATATCAATCACAATAAGATACCATTCTCTAGGCACTACGGTGGCTAAAGGCATACCAGGTTGCACTGCACCCATAGGTTGCATAGTGGCATTTATAGCCCGAAGATCATGCAAAAGCCGCCACTTCCCTGATTTCTTTTTAATAACAAAGATAGGTGTGTTCCATGGAGATACTGAAGGCATTATACGTCCCAATGATAATTGTTCTAACACTAACTCCTGGGCAGCCATTAACTTTTCAGAGGTTAGGGGCCACTGCGACACCCATATGGGCTCATTCGATATCCACGTAATCTTCAATGGCTGTTGTTTCGCAGTGGCCCCAGCTGAAAACCCAACCCTGCCCTTCCTGGGTGTTGTCTAACCACGATTGGTTCTATTCTTCCTTGTTCTTCTTTACCTAGACCCTTTCCTGAATAACCCATATTCTCTATGATATTCCATGCTTGTTGGCTTCCTGTTTGGTAGGACTCATTGCTAAGACGAAGTCCCATAGCACTTAAGACTTCCCGGCCCCATAGGGTCACAGGGATGGCACAAACATAAGGCTGAAAGGACCCTTTGTGACCTTCGTGGTCCACCCAGGAAATAACACATGCACTCTGTTGTGGTTGGCTAGCCACTCCTAAGCCTCGTAAGGTTTGATTAGATTGCTTTAGGGGCCATTTTTTGGGCCAATCTGATTGCCTAATAATGCTGACATCTGCCCCAGTGTCCAAAAGGCCTTCGAATGGGGTGCCACGTAGCATAAGGGTGGCCAATGGTCGGTCCTTGAGGGAGACAGATAGATTAACTAAGGCGTCTCCGGAGGATCCAAAGCCTTTGTCCCCACGGGTGGCATGGCGACTCCGCCAACTCTCATGACAGCTAGGAAGGACTAACAGTTGGGCAATACGCTCTCCTGGAATTATAACAGTTATTCCCTTTGGTGAAGAAACCATAACTTTGACAATGCCAGTATAATCAGAATCAATTACTCCTGGGTGAACAATCAGGCCCTGCATGGTCTTAGAACTCCGTCCAAACACCAATCCCACTGTGCCATTAGGAAGTGGTCCATGAAAATCAGTACCAAGTGCCTGTGGGCCCATCTCAGGGGTTAATACCATGTGGGAGGTGGCACAGAGGTCCAATCCTGCGCTTCCAGGCGTGGCTCGGCGTATTGCCTGGTTGTCTGTTCTATCTGCTCCTGGTGCACCCCGTATGCTCTGTGGGGGCCCCGGGATGCTGGGCCCCTCTGCCCGTTTTTTGGCTTAAAGTTCCCTTCCAGGGGGTGGCCAGAAATATCTCGCACTGAGCGACACTCATTAGCCCAGTGATTCCCTTTCCTACATCTCGGGCATAGCCGAGGCTGAGGAGGAAGATGAGTGGGCTCTCTTTGGCGGCAGTCTCTTTTAAAGTGCCCCGGTTTACCGCATCTGAAGCATATCTGATCCCGCCCTTTAAACCCCTTCTCCTGTTTCATAGCATTCATTATCACTTTAGCCTGTTCCCTTGCCTGTATAACTCCAGCTGTAACTTGATCATGCACATCTCTACAGATTTTAATCCATGTATCCAAGTCCTTATGCTTCCAAGGGCGTATGGCTTCACGACACCATTTATTAGCATTTTCATAGGCCAATTGCTTCACTAATGGCATAGCTTGTTCTACATCAGAAAACAATTTTGATGCAACCTCCATGAGGCGGCTCACAAAGTCCGCATAGGGCTCATTAGGCCCTTGGATCACTTTAGATATGGAAAAGCGCAGATCGCCTTTGCTATGAAGGGCCCTCCAAGCATTGCGCCCTATAGTGGCTATCTGGGCATAAACAGGCTCGGGGTAATCTATTTGGTTTTCCTGTCCCGCTCGAGCACCTTCCCCAAGGAGTACGTCTACGTCCCATGCAGGATTGCCTGCTTGGGCATTACGGCGTGCAGTGTCTAATGCTAACTCGCGGCAGGCTGACCGCCAGACCAAATACTGTCCAGGGGACAGGGTGGCTTTAGCTAAATTTTTCCAATCATCAGGAGTCAATGCTGAGCTTGCTATCTGTTCCAGCACCGCGAGGGTGAAGGGGGCATGAACACCATAGGAATCAACAGCGGTCTTCAAATCTTTAATTAACTTGAAATCAATTGAGACCCAGGAACGAACTGGGGGATTTTGTGTTCTATCCTCTGTAACTGGAAACACTTGGCCTGCCTCGGCAAAATCGCGCCATGAACTTGTACCCCGAGGGGAGGGGGCACATACTCGATCTCCCTTTCGCTCCTGGCATTGCCAGGGCGGCGCAGTTGGCGTGAGTGGGGGGTCTCCCGGAGGGGGAGCCGGCTGCCAGATAGACCTTTTTGATTGCATTGAAGCGGTCTCTAGTTTCTGCGCGAGTTCATCAATATCCTCACCAGAGGCCCCCGCCTGACTGCCTGAGTCTGAGTATTCTTCACTGCTATCTCCACCTTTTAAGGAAGCTTCTTCCTGCGTTGAAGAAATTAAATTGCCCATGTTTCTAACACCGCTGATCTTCGCTAACTTGCAAACTTGACCGATTGTCAAATGGAGAAATTGATCGTTAACCGCGAACTTGAATGGGCGCTAGATCGCAATCCTGAATGGCGGTAAACTGCGATCGTGAATGGCGGTAAACCACGATCGTGAATGGCGGTAAACGGTAAACCACGATCGTGAATGGCGGTAAACCACGATCGTGAATGGCGGCAAACCACGATCGTGAATGGCGGCAAACCACGATCGTGAATGGCGGCAAACCGCGATCCTGAATGGCGGCAAACCGCGATCCTGAATGGCGGCAAACCGCGATCCTGAATGGCGGCAAACCCAGCTTTAATGGTCGCTACCCGCAAACTGGACTAACTCGACTCGTCGCTACCCGCGAACTTGACTAACTCGACTCGTCGCTACCCTGCGAACTTGGCTAACTCGACTCGTCGCTACCCTGCGAACTTGGCTCGTCGCTAATCCGCGAACTTGACGTGCACGTCCCCGCTGCTATCAGCGGCTCCCTGAGGTAACCTGAAACCTCAGCTTAAATGGGCCCCCCGCTGCTGCGGCTTCCTGAGCAAAAAGCTCAGTTGTAAACTAATTCCCCGCTCTAAGCGGCTCCCTGAGCGATCTGCTCAGCTTACCTTCCTGGCGTTCACCAGCTGACTTCTATCGATTCACAGCGCCAGTTATCTTCTTTCTATCCGAGTCACGGCACCAGGTATCGGGGGTCCTCCCGTCCCGCGGAAGAAATCACCCGACACTTGAGAGAGTCTCCAAGGCGCCTTTATTCTGCCCCTCCGTCCCGTCGTGACCGATGTCCGTGTCCGTTATGACCGTTATATCCGTTACGCTCCAGCCCCTCCCCCGCCAAGCCCCCGGCTTAACTGTCAAACTTGACCAATCAACTTAAAGAGAACCAAGGCACACCAATCAGGGCAAAGGGCCAATCACAGGGCAGGAAATGGTCAGTGCCCCCAACAGATGATGGAGGATGTTAGTGTCAAACAGGCCCCTTCCCCCTCGTGGGAGATTTGGGGGGCATTTTGGGCGCTGGGCTCCGGCTTGGGTCAGCTCTGGCATTTGGGAGTGGTACTGTAGATACAAGGTGTTTTCTTCCCTCTGTCAGTCCACCTTCCAAGTAGATGCAAAGAAATAATTAAGGAAGATGCGAGGGCCCAGCACGGTAGCCTAGTGGCTGAAGTCCTCGTGTTGCACACACTGGGATCCCATATAGGCACTGGTTCATGTCCTAGCTGACCTGCTTTCCATCCAGCTCCCTGCCTGTGGCCTGGGAAAGCAGTTGAGGACGGCCCAAAGCCTTGGGACCCTGCACCCGCATGGCAGACCCAGAAGAAGCGCCTGGCTCCTGGCTTCAGATTGGGTCAGCTCGGGCCATTGTGGCCAGTTGGGGAGTGAATCATCAGATGGAACTCCTCCTCTCGTTAAAGCTAACTTTCCAATAAAAAAAACTAAATCTTAAAAAGGTGTAAGAATGCAAAGAGGGAGCAAGTGAAAGGTGAGCGGGCTGTGCCAGTCAGCCCGGACGTTCCATGAAGACGGCAGCCCTGGAGCCCAGGGCACAGCCTGGGGAGGTCAGCAATGACAGTGGAGGGTAAGCCAGTCAGCAGGACATTACTGAGAGGCAGCGAGGGAGAGATCTTCCACCGTCCAGTTCACTCCACAAATGCCAGCAAAGGTTGCAGTTGGACCAGGCTGAAGCCAGGAGCTTCTTCTGGATTTTGCACGTGGGCAACAGGGGCCAAGTACTTGAGCCATCCTCTGCTGCTTTCCCAGGCCACTCGCAGACAGCTGGTCAGAAGTGGAGCAGCCGGGACACGAGCTGGCGGCCTCATGGGATGCTGGTGTTGCCGGCTGAGCCTTTACCTGCAGTGTCTGCTCCCCGAGTGACTGACGCATGCACACCCACAAGGAGTCCTGTCTCAGGGCTGCGGCCAGAGCTGCCGGCCCAGGCCCCAGGTCACGCGGGTGATGCGCACGTACAGCCTCCCGCCTCAGCGCCCACGGCAGGCGCCCTTGCAGTCCTTTCTTGTCCACCTACATGGCCCTCGCCTGGACAGACTGTCCCAACATGTCCTCAGAAACGTCTTTTGAAAGGCAGAGTGATACAGCAGGAGAAACCAGGACCAAGAGAACGAGAGTGAGAGAGCTTCCATCCTGGGGTTCACTTCTGAAATGGTGTGACAGCTGGGGCCAGGGGCTCCACCTGAGTCCCCGACGTGAGTGCAGGGACCCCAGCACTTGGGCCACAATCCGCAGGTCCCCAGATGCATCAGCAGGGGAGCTAGGTCAGAAACACAACGTGCGGGCCTGGACCCAGCACTCCCCCTGACACCCCGGCCGTGTCCATGGAGTCCTCAGCGGGCTGCTCCTCACAGACCTTGTCTCTGCCCCTGTGTGTAAACCAGGCCTCACCCTCGTGGAAAACCCACCCCACCCGCAGCGCCTCCTGCCGGCCAAGCCCGTGCATGCTCACTGCCACCAGAACCTGGGGAAATCTCCCAAGGGTGCTACTGGCCACTGCCTCCTGGGCACAGCACGCCTGCTAGGCTGCCCTCCATAAGCCAGACCTCCACCTTGTCAATGGACTGATTTCCACAAAGAGTGAGATAAAACACGTCAACACAGTCCAAACTGGCAAACCAAGACACACAACCCGGTTCCTTGAAACGCTAGACGGGGGCAAGGACGCACAGGAGACCCACCAGGGCAGCTCCTGTTGCAACTTGGTGACCAAGAGCAACACGAGCTCTCTGTCCACGAGGACCACGTGACTTCAGAACACAGGATGCTGGACCTTAAGGAAAGACCCCTAGGGTGTGGAAAGACAAACACGGGGGTGGGCGCTGGGCCTCACGGCCACATTCCGCACAGATGCCTGGCACCTGGGCCTGGCTGCTCCCCAAGCCCAGCTTCCTGTTACCATCACCCACGCTGGCAGGCCGCAGGTGATGGCTCATCACTTGGGCCCAGGCACGCGCGAGACCCCGATGGAATTCCCAGCTCCTGTCTTGGGCCTGGCTTGGTCCTTGCTCGCTGAGTCATGTCTTTTCAAAGTTAAGGGAAATGGAGACTACGGGGAAGATACAGACGTAGAAACAGCAGACGTCAGAGGCTCGTCCGGCGAGGTACTGGACAAAGCCGCCTAGAGCTGACCATGAAACAAATCCCCGGCAGGAAAGTGGCGAGAGGCCACACCACGTGGGAGACGTGGGACAAGAGGAAACCTGCGTGGTCAGCTGTGGGGCCCACTCAGCCCCACGGACAGAAATCCTTGGCAGGTGAGGCACCGGTCACCCTCCCAGGGCTCACCCCTGGCCCGGCAGGCCAAGCACGTCCACATCAGGTTCTCCCTGGGCAGCAGGCCCTGGGCTTCTGTGAGCCGCACGGATGCGCGTGTGGCAAGGACGCCACGGTTCCTACTGCACGAGGTCACAGGCCACTTCACTGGCTCCAGCCCAGAAACACTTCCACGAACGTGGCAACATGGAAAACTCACGAACAACGAGAAGTCCCTCGTTGACCCAGTGCCCAGTGGCCCCCGCCGGCATGCAGAGGCGACCAAGACTCCCAGCTCACCCCCCTCTGCAGTGAGGGTGTGTTTCACGTGATCTGGAGCTTCCTCTTTCTTCACCGCGGGAGCAAACACACAGCACCCGGAGACTCACCTGCGATCGGCTCATTTTCTGAGGCTTTTGGGTCAGCATGGAGCCGGCTGACAGTGGACCTAGGGGAAGAGAGGAGGCGGGCGCTGAGCTCGGGGGCCTGGCGGCCTGTGCAGGCAGACATGCCCAGCACACGGAGGCCCGCCGTGGACGCTCGGCTGGGGCTGGCAGGGTGACTGTGGGCCCCCACACCTGCCCCTGCGGGCCCCCACACCATTCAGTGATGGCGAGCAGCATGAGCCTCTCTGGTCAGGACTGACCGGGGCACCTGTCACAAATAGATGTCCTCGGGCAGTACAAGAAGCAAATGGGAGGGTTTTGGGTCTGTGGCACGACAGCGTTGGGCCGCCACCTCTGTGCCCACATCTCACGTGCTCACTGGCTGGAGTCCTGCTGCCCCACTGCCAACACAGCTCCCTGTGCCTGGGAAAGCTGCAGGTAATGGCCCAAGGAACTGAACCCCTGACCTCCATGTAGGAGACCCGCAGGGAGCTCCAGGCTCCTGGCTCCAGCCTTGCCCAGCACCCAGCTGTTCCTGGGGACAGATGGGGTGGGACTGGCAGTGTGGCACGGAAGGTGGTGCCGCCGCAGCCTGCAACATGGCGTCCCAGGTGCGAGCTGCATGGAGTCCCAGATGTTGTGGTTCGGAACCAGCTCCCAGCTGATGCACCAGGGAAGACGGCCCGAGTCCCAGGGTCCTTGCCATCCACAGGGGAGACTGCAACGGAGCTCCTGGCTCGGGCTTGGACCAGCCCCAGCCGTGGCAGCCGCGTGGGAAGTGAAGCAGCACATGGAAGCTTCTCTCTGCCTCTTGTCACTCTGCTTTTCAGGGAAATGGGGGTCGGGGAGGGAAAAGAGAACCAAGGGGGCCATGGTGGGCAGGACGCTGGCGAGGTAAGACTGCGGAGTGGCACCATGAGCCAAGCCACACACACACTCAGTGCCCTCTGCCAAGTCACCCCAATTCTCAGCACCCCTCACCTTCGTCCAGCAGGAGGCAGCCCTGCCACTCTGCCCCGTGACAAGCTGACACAGGTCACTGCCAAGGGTGCCTGTCGCCTTCTTCCTACCCTGCTTTCCCACTAAGACATTAAAGCTGCCACGTGTTTCCCCTGATTCTAAGGCGGAACGCCATCAGGACAGACGCGAGGGGCAGCCAGACACGGAGGGACGTTTAGGGACACCGAGGACCCGCTGGTGAAGGGAGGAGTGGGAACGACCTTGCAGGGGCAGCTGCTCCAGAAGCGACGCCACCCTCCCGTCCACTCCCAGCCAGTGCCCACCACCTACCCAGCAGGGGCTCTGGACAGCGCCCAGTACCTACCCAGCACGGGCTTTGGGCAGGGTCCACCACCTGCTTCACATGGGGCTCCGGGCAGTGCCCAGCACCTACCCATCATGGGCTCTGGACAGCGCCCAGTACCTACCCATCATGGGCTGCGGGCAGTGCCCACCACCTGTCCTGTAGGGGGCTCTGGGCCAGTGCCCACCAACTATCCCCGCAGGCTGCTCGGGACCCGTGCCCAGTACCCTACCCCGAATGGGGCTCCGGGCAGTGCCCACCACCTACCCAGCAGGGGCTCCGGATAGCGCCCAGTACCCAGCATGGGCTCCGGGCAGTGTCCACCACTACCCAGCAGGGGCTCCGGGCAGTGCCCACCACCTGCCCCGCGGGTCCCCCAGGCCTCTCCCAGGGGCCGGGTCTGCACCTCCGGGGCTCAGCTGGGGCAGGCGGCGCTCCCGGGGCCCTGTCCGCCCGCCGAGGACTCACCGTCCCGCGCCGTGCGCTCCCGGGGTCGCGCTCCCGGTTCCCTGTCGGACCTCGGCCGGTGGATGCCAGGCAGACGCCGATTTAGCCACTCAACCCCGCAGGAGCTCTCGGGTCTCACCCACGCCAGGAAAGCCCGGGAGACTGGGCCTGCAACATCACAGGGACAGGACAGCAAGTCTGGGCAGTGCGGCCACGCCGTGCACGCGTGGATGTACAGAACGTTTAGGGGGCGTGCACATGCGCGACCGGGCACCGGAAGCTGCCTCCCAGGGCCACCCCCTATGTCCTAGGGCAAGTCCCAGGACTACATTTCCCAAAGGTCAACGCGCCGCTCCTGAAACAGCCACTGAAATGCTTGTCCCTGACTTGACCGTTAACTGATGCTCAACTGCAAGTACTTGCCCCTCGAACTGTGAACTCAAGTGCGTCCGTACTGGAGAGTTTCCCATCCAGATGCCTGCTAGTGTTCCTAGAAAGGTGTCTGAGGAAGGTAGAAGTGGCGGGGCCCCAGCCGCCAAGTCCCAAAAGGAAGGACTGGCTTCTGGCTCACAACAGGTCCAGACATGG